TATAGCAATGAAAACTAGAGAACAAATGAATTAGCGATCTTAATGAGTGTCTTACATATAAAATGTCAGAAAATGCAAAAAGTATGTCATGCAATATTAAAAGGTTAAAATTCAAGGAACTTGTGTATATATTTAAAATGTATTAAAATATTCAAACGATCAATGTTGTATAATACACAATTAAAATATTTATTTAAAAACCGATCAACCGATTGGTGTCGAAACATGTAGTGTTTTTTTTTTCGAAATTATTATTATTTATTGCACGGACTGGGTAGTCATACTATGGAACTTCAACCGCAAGAAGTACTTACAGTTAGAAGAGACATAGGGGTGGGTTTAACGGTACTTTGAAACAACGTCAGACCACCGCAAAGCTGCGCTAAAGGAGCCTGAGATAATTTCGCCATTTATGATAATTAAAAAGAAAAATAGATACTTCTTAACGGCAAAAACTTCCTTCCTTTGTATTTAACAACACGTGATCCCCCTTTAGCCTCCCAAACTAACTTTCTGTCCCCCACTTCCAATATAAAATCATAGAGACGACACTGTTTTTTGAGTATAATCAGTACGTGGTTCTGACCAAGGCTCTGTTTTTCACTTTATTTGTAATTTTGATAATGTTGTAGTGATGACTGGTTTTGTTAAGTGACATATAATGAGAATTTGGTCATTAGAAATTTGGAATGTAAGAAAAATGAGGCTTTATTGTGCACTAAGGTATTCATTGGGTGTATTCAACACATTTTGAGGAGACTGATTTTTGAAAGTGCCAACTTGTTTCTTGGTATATTATTCTATGTGGATAGGGTAGTTTTTATTGTTAAAGCATGCTATTTTTGTTTCGAATGTTAATTTGAATCTATTACTTTTAAACTGCAATTTTCGTTACAGGAATATAGCGATATGTTTTGCTTATTGTTAAGAAAATAATAAGAATATTAAGCTAATTTGTCACATTTCATGAACATTTTTGCTAACCTTTTAATTTTTATTTTCGATAACATTTTTATTAGGATAATTGTATTTATACTAGCTGAGGTAAGACTGTAGGACTTTAAGAAAAAAAGCTTTATTGTGAGGTTGTATAGTGCCTGATTATTTGTTTGAAACCATAACTCTCTCCCACCCTAAAAACTAACTTTTGACATTCATATGTAATTAAAGTAAGTTAATCCTTGTCGCACCTCGTAAGACAAGTGCTTTACTTTGGTTTCCTATGGCACAAGCGGATGAAAATAGTAACATATTTACCCTGTGTAAGCCGCCACCAGCTCTTCGCAGGTTAACTACTGCTACCAATAGTATTCATGTTTGTTTCCTATGTCTATTTTTAGGTAAACTTCTGACCAAATGTATGTAGGTAGATTCATTATACAAAAACCAATAATTTTGAAGAAGTTGCTTCTCTCATCAATTAGTTATTAAAAGAGTTAAAGCTATCCTTAACTTTAATGACCTTTAAATGTTTCAACGAACTTAAAAAAATTCACCTATACGCATAATTTGATAGCTTAAACCTCACAGTAACTAAAACTGAAATGTTAGTTTTTTGTTTCGTTTTTCACGTGGCAGTGCGTTCGACTTACCAAAAACATATATACGTCCGTGAAAGTACACTGTAGTATGGTAGTTACGAGGTTCCGGCATTGTTCCAAAATATGACCATTTATCTTTTATCGGTTGATAACACAGCATTACTCCACCTGACGGATAAAAAGTGTACGAGATGTTAGGAACAGGTAGCTGTTAGTAATCGCTAGGCTGACAAAAGTAGCTTTATACACGAGTTTTCATAGATTCAAAGAATACTTTTCTCTTTTAGCAAGCTTAAGCTCATTCCACTCAAGGACTTTAGCAGATTAGAGGACTTCCATTAGTGATACTAAAACATAGAAAACAAATACTGTAATAACAGAAATGCCTTGTTTAACTTTAAAATATATTAGTGTGTACTGGGTTTTCAACTGGTTCTGACGAAGCTTGACATATAACTTGCATTTTAGGCCAAGAAAAATAACTTATTGAAGAAAAACAAATAATTAGACTGTAATGACTCACTTCTTATAACTGACAAAATTAAATAGACATACTTTAAGTTCTTCGGCTTTGAGATACTAAAATAATATTTGAGTTTTTGAGTCCTTTTTAACTCATCATATAGTAACTTAAATTGATTTAAGTGTGTAAATAATATTATGGCATTGGGCCTAATTTATTATTCGATTTTATATTTCGGACCAACATTATAAAAGGCCTAACTGTATTTCTTTGGTTTGCTGATCCAAATTATGCTGATAAACCTTGAATAGGCGTGTGACGGATTTATTATTATATTTCAATATCGATGTTTGTTTAAATTCAATTTATATTGAGAGATGTACATAACTTATAATGTTAAATACGTATTGCAAAACTTCCACCCATTCTATAAAGTTCTAGAAGATTCAAGAGTGTAAGAATCCACAAAATATATGTGTACGTAAACGCTAGTAGCGTTTGTAATGTTGCGTAATTTGAATTTTCGAGAAACTCTCCACACGCCTATAAATATAACCAACGTGACGCGCCTAAAAACAGTATCTATTATTGTTTAATATAGTTGGTGTGCTATAAACTTCGGAAGCTATAACTGTGGTTAACGCTTATTAATTGGGAACTTCAGATATATTGACCAGGAACGTTTATAAGTTTTGAACATTACAAATCATTCAACTTCAGTGATTTACATCGAACATTAGTACTTTTACGAAAACATTACCTAACGTCACCGGTAGGAAAAATTGGTGTAGACCACAAGCTAGCTAGCTCCCTATTAAGTGAATAGTACCTACATCAACTTTAAATTAACTCGCTCATCGTGAACCTCGATAAGACATCAAAGAACTTTCAGTCTAGAAAGAAAACATTATATTGCTTGTAAGTTTGTCAAATTTTTGTATATAAACTATTGTTTGTAATAACTATTGGTAATAACCGTTATTGTAAATTGTATTATTGTTTGTATATTAAAATATATATGTATTTAAAAAAAAACTTTATGTATCAATCTTGTTGGCAAATATAATAGATTGGAGATATATATTGCCATATATATTTAACTACTAAATCTAAATTACAATTTAACTCAGTTTTAGGCCATTTAAAATTGTAATACGTAACAGGCGAAACTGTAGTCCACAGCAGGGGATGCAACGAATTAAAGAATGCATTAGGCTTCTACTTCACAGTTTATATTTTTTATTTTGTCTTGGACGGAAACAAAGGAAATATGTAATATAATAGTTTCTCTCAAATTAATCACAATTCACCTTCGCTTATTTCACACGAAACGATACTACCTAACCAGCAACGTAATTAGTTCATAAAAATACAAAACGTTCTAACTGTTGACTTGAGTTAACGGAAGCCTTACTCATTAACTACTTACCATGAACGGCTCACAAAAATACATTTTCATTGAAATTATGTTCATTCTTAAAACTCTGCATGCAATAATCTGTTGAATCACAATTGAATTCCGGGCTTACATACTGTAGTTATTACAATATTTATGAAAACCATTCTGTACTTAAATTTAGTAAAAAGAAGCAAAACGCTAGAAAATACTTGTCGGACAGTTTTCTAACTGATAATTATAAAAAAATGTTACTACAAAAAGATTAACTTCTTGTAAAACTTGGCAGCATAAAATAAAAAAGTTAATTATTGAAATGATATATTAACGAACATTAAGCAAAGCTAGCAGAATACCTTTTATTATGCTTAATATTTTAATTATTTTAACCATGAACTCATCATAACTTAGAAAGTTTTTAATAATACATTGTTATTTCAAAATGTAAAACAAGTACAGTTTATACTAGTACTAGTGTTATATAAATGGAATAACAGCATTGCCAGAATATTAATCTCATGTAACCATTAGGTGCCATCATACAACGAATTCTTTTTTTCATCGTAAATTTCATTATTGAAAACTGATTCTATATATCATAAGTTGGATAGTTATTCCTATTTTAGATTCAAGCTGTTTATATACCAACCTACCTATCAGATAATCTCTTGGCTTCAAAGGATTGATTCCTCCAGTACACAATATCACAGGATTCTCGTCATCACAAAGACATTTTGTTAAAGGCATATCAGATAAAAAGTGTGTACACGACTTCCACTGACGAGTTACATTTACCCTGAATCGTATGTGTGAAAACAAAAAAGCAATGTTCATTTCTAAAAAAACAAAAAATATTTAAAAACTCTGTACCCACTATTTACTTTTAACAGATCTATAGCTAATATGTGGACTTAAGTTTTTGTATCATCTAATAATGAAAATAGAGCTCAATCAAATAATCTATTAAGTGTAAAGAGGTGACTGTCATTACTATATACTGAAAACTTCTAACAAATAAATAATTTATAGCACACTGTTTTTTATTCCATAACAGATCTAATAACCTTCCTTTTTAGATATCAGCAGAAGTACTTCATACTGTAAAATAATAAAGCTGTGATGAAATTTGTTTTTGTTTGTTATTAAGCACAAAGCTATACCACGGATATCGAAACTCAGTTTCTAGGGGTATAAGTCCGCAGACATACCTCTGTGCCACTAGGGGGCTGTGGTGAAATAACAAATCTGATAAGAGTTGCCAAATAATGTCATGAATAATTTGATTTTTTCTTCACTATCGATATGAAACAAGAATACTCAATGCTTGAACTGGGGGAAAAAAAGGAAGCGGGGTGGATTGTGAAAGTTTTGAAACTGAATACCATATTTCTTGTTTTTCATGTGTATTCTTTACGTATTCATATAGGAACTAAAATGTAAAAATCTGAAACTCATTAGGTGTGATTTGGTAAGATAATGAAAAATAATGATGATTCTTCACGAAGTGTACTTGTGAGTAGCTCGTGCTTACGTAATTCAATAGGTAGCGTGAGCTGCACGTTCGACTTGTGATTTACAACTTGTGTGGAGGAGTTATTAGTTAGACAAGGTTCAAAGGGCAGTAAAAAATAAATTAAAGTATAACATAAGTATACTGTTATGAGTTATAGTGTGGAAAATTGATGGTTATTTTGTGGTTACGAACTCGGTCAGACCGTGGCGAGAGGGTTCATTCACTCCATTCGTGTGCTACTTGGTTTCATTCTTGCCTCGCTCTTCCACGACATTTCAAGGAAAAAAAAAATATATGTAGTTTTTCTCCCCAGGCCTTTGCTGCCGTAAATATGTATTGTATCGTTTACTGAACCTTTCCTCTCTGAGAATCTTACAGTCTACTAAGAGGTAGCAGGATGGTTTCTGGCCCTCCTGAAAAGAATTGGGATGGCATCTCGCCTCATTCCACCCTTCATCAATCACTGCTTATACTTATATAAAAACACTTGAATAATTATTTGTTCTCTCCGATAAGCTCAGTAATTTTCAAAATTTGACATAGGCAGCCAATATCTGATGTTATGTACAGTTGATAAAAGAAATCTGTTAAAACCAAATATAATCATCAGACACCTGTTGCATGTACCTTAACAAGTACAATCAATTGACTAATCACAAGCAATATTTTATCGTCTGCCCTAAACAAACATTCTATCACTGAATTTTCTTACTAAGATTATTACGATTTGATGAGCATTTTATAGCTTTTATATTAAGATATACTATTTGAAATTATAAGTGCAACGTGTTTGTTTTACACGATTAACTCATTACGAAAAGAATGATAAATAACAATGATAATACTATTATATCTATAAATGTTTATCTTGTTTGAAGAGATAGTTAAATCAAAATATGGTTGCATTTTGTTATTGTATCTATATAAACATAATAGTACTATCTGTTATATATCCAAGTAACTACTTCGCAGGGTGTGGATGGATCTTCACTAAAATTGGTATGGAGGTTCATTGGGTCCATGGAAAGATACATACAAATTTGTATTTTGCAGTTTTTATGGGCGTTTTTTTACAATTACATATAAGGGAAGCAACTTTTTATGTCCTAAGATAACCTTTCATTAATGTCAGGGTTTCATGAATATGTGGGATGAGGATTCTTATACAGTAGGTGTCTGTGGTTTGTTGGCGATAAATTCGAACAATAAACGGGCAGCACACAATCCTCTTGTTTTAAAGTAATATATTAAAAATAAATCAAACTCTAAACAATTCTCTTCTCTTGTCAGAAGTCCCCTTAGGCTGATTCAATTACTTTAGAATCTAATTGACAAGACGAATTAATTTTCTTTATCTTCTTTTCTCACAATACAAATCAACGAATAATTCACTTACACTACCACGTGGGTTACCACAGTTGTATCTCGAACCTTAAATAATTGTCTTCTTTCGTCAAAGTCCACACAGGTGGATAGAATTACTTTAGATCACTCTTTGACAAGATAAATTATTCTCTTTATCTCAGTTAAACTGTGAAACTCACTTTAAAATATCATCTGTTACAGCTTATCACTCACGCTTATCACGCGTTTATTTAACAAGACTCAGTTAATGTAATGAGAAAAATACTGAAGGTTCGATTAATGTGACGTCAACAATATTAGTTAAGCCTCGATAACAATGTATTGCAAACACAATGTACGACTCTTATCAAGTTACGTAACCAAACTTATCATAACTATCGCCTTTAAAATGATTAAGTTTTAACTCTCTTATTATGAACAACTAAACAATCATTAAATATTAACTCACAAAATAAATTAAACAATAACTCCCACACTAAGCAGTTGGCCCGGCATGGCCAGGTGGTTAGGGCACTCGACTCGCAATCTGAGGATCGCTGGTTCGAATCCCCGTCACACCAAACATGCTCGCCCTTTCAGCCCGT